TAATACATACATACATACATACATACATACATACATACATATACATATACATAAACACATACATACATACATACATACATACATACATATACATACTTACACACATACATACATACACACATACATACAAACTTACATACATATACATACTTACACGCATACATACATACATACATACATATACATACATACATACATACATACATACATAAATACTTACACACATACATACATACATACATACTTACATACATACATACATACATACATACATATACATATACATACATACATACATACATACATACATACATACATAAATACTTACACACATACATACATACATACACACATACATACAAACTTACATACATATACATACTTACACACATACATACATACATACATACATATACATACTTACATACATACATACATACATACATACATACATACATACATACATACATACATACATACATACATACATATACATACTTACACACATACATACATACATACATACTTACACACATACATACATACATACATACTTACATACATACACATACATACATACATACATACATACATACATACATACATACATACATACATATACATACATACATACATACATACATACATACATACACATACACACACACACACACACACACACACACACACACACATATACATACATATACATACATACGTTTCATATTGGATTAGGCCTTTTCCAGTTGGCATTCTATTGCCTATAAATGCCAACCAAAATCAGTTCTGTGCTTAAATTAACCATTTTTGGAATATGTATATCTCGGAGAATATTCAACATGCTCATAACCTTTCAGCATTTAGACCAAATGTTGTATTTATAATACAAATGTGTGTGGTTGTTCAATGATATCAGTGATATCTTACGTAACAGTTATGACATAATAATGATCACGATGACAACATTCCACATTCATGGCATTCAGAGCCTATAGGAATGCCATTTGAATATGGTAGGGTTATATGGCGGTAATGTCATACGGAGGTTAATATAATAATACACATATTTATTACATTTTTGCCAGTGAAATATCGGATTCTATCAACTTGATAAAATTGATATCTTTCACACTGTGACAAATATCAAAAGTGATATTTTCACAGTGTGAAAGTATTACTTTTTAGTATTGACCAATCATAACGGTATCTTCTATTCGCTGCATTCAAAGGCAACGATATTTTGTTCAGATTCAAATGAAGCGACGGTAGAATAAGTGGTTGTTATGGTAAATGTTTGGTACACAAACTTAAGTATTTAGATATATATACCAGTAATGACATTTTTATAAGCAATCATACCAGAAAATAGCAGAAACGTCGAAATTGCATTGAGAATCCCATTAAAAATGGCGCGCAGCCTTGTTGTCAAGCGCGACGTCATTAGAATATGGCGCTAATAATAACGCTTCTGATTCCCCCCCCCCCCCCCCCCCTTTTAATTTTTGATGCATAACTGCGCACTCGTGAAAAGTATCAAAATTATAGCCACACTCATGAATTATATTTGTTATTAATGAAGTCACCATTAAATATCCTCTATATATGTACACCACAGCTATTCTCTGTTAGGAATACACATATATAACCACACAGCTATCCTCTGTTAGGAATACACATATATAACCACACACCTATCCTCTGTTAGGCATACACATATATATACAACACAGCTATCCTCTGTTAGGCATACACATATATATACAACACACCTATCCTCTGTTAGGAATACACATATATATACAACACAGCTATCCTCTGTTAGGCATACACATATATATACAACACAGCTATCCTCTGTTAGGCATACACATATATATACAACACACCTATCCTCTGTTAGGAATACACATATATATACAACACAGCTATCCTCTGTTAGGCATACACATATATATACAACACAGCTATCCTCTGTTAGGCATACACATATATATACAACACAGCTATCCTCTGTTAGGCATACACATATATATACAACACAGCTATCCTCTGTTAGGCATACACATATATATACAACACACCTATCCTCTGTTAGGCATACACATATATATATACAACACAGCTATCCTCTGTTAGGAATACACATATATATACATACCACATAGCTATCCTCTGTTAGAAATACACATATATATATACCACACAGCTATCCTCTGTTAGGCATACACATATATATGTACAACACAGCTTTCCTCTGTTAGGAATATACATATATATACAACACAGCTATCCTCTGTTAGGAATACACATATATATACAACACAGCTATCCACTGTTAGGCATACACATATATATATACCACACAGCTATCCTCTGTTAGGCATACACATATATATATACACCACAGCCATCCTCTGTTCGTCATACACAAATATATATACCACACAGCTATCCTCTGTTAGGGATACACATATATATATACAACACAGCTATCCTCTGTTAGGCATACACATATATATACAACACAGCTATCCTCTGTTAGGCATACACATATATATACAACACACCTATCCTCTGTTAGGAATACACATATATATACAACACAGCTATCCTCTGTTAGGCATACACATATATATATATATACAACACACCTATCCTCTGTTAGGAATACACACATATATATATATACAGCACAGCTATCCTCTGTTAGGTATACACATATATATATATACAACATAGCTATCCTCTGTTAGGCATACACATATATATATACAACACACCTATCCTCTGTTAGGCATATACACATATATATATATTTACAACACAGCTATCCTCTGTTAGGCATACAAATATATATATATACAACACACATATCCTCTGTTAGGAATACACATATATATATATACAACACAGCTATCCTCTGTTAGGAATACACACACATATATATATATATACAACACAGCTATCCTCTGTTAGGCATACACACATATATAGATACAACACAGCTATCCTCTGTTAGGAATACACATATATATACCACACAGCTATCCTCTGTTAGGAATACACACATATATATATAAAACACAGCTATCCTCTTATAAGAATACACACATATATATACAACACAGCTATCCTCTGTTAGGCATACACATATATATACACCATAGCTATCCTCTGTTAGGCATACACATATATATATATATTTACAACACAGCTATCCTCTGTTAGGCATACACATATATATATATACAACACACATATCCTCTGTTAGGAATACACATATATATATATACAACACAGCTATCCTCTGTTAGGCATACACATATATATACAACACACCTATCCTCTGTTAGGCATACACATATATATACAACCCACCTAGCCTCTGTTAGGCATACACATATATATATATATTTACAAAACAGCTATCCTCTGTTAGGCATACACACATATATATATATATACCACATAGCTATCCTCTGTTAGGAATACACATGTATATATACGACATAGCTATCCTCTGTTAGGTATACACATATAGATATACAACATAGCTCTCCTCTGTTAGGGATACACATATATATACAACTCAGCTATCCTCTGTTAGGCATACACATATATATACAACCCACCTAGCCTCTGTTAGGCATACACATATATATATTTACAACACAGCTATCCTCTGTTATGCATACACATATATATATATACAACACACATATCCTCTGTTAGGAATACACATATATATATACCACACAGCTATCCTCTGTTAGGAATACACTTATATATATACAACATAGCTATCCTCTGTTAGGGATACACATATATATACAACTCAGCTATCCTCTGTTAGGCATACACACATATATATATATACCACATAGCTATCCTCTGTTAGGAATACACATGTATATATACGACATAGCTATCCTCTGTTAGGTATACACCTATAGATATACAACATAGCTATCCTCTGTTAGGAATACACATGTATATATACGACATAGCTATCCTCTGTTAGGTATACACATATAGATATACAACATAGCTATCCTCTGTTAGGGATACACATATATATATACAACATAGCTATCCTCTGTTAGGTATACACATATAGATATACAACATAGCTATCCTCTGTTAGGGATACACATATATATATACAACATAGCTATCCTCTGTTAGGGATACACATATATATATACAACTCAGCTATCCTCTGTTAGGCATACACATACATATTCAACACAGCTATCCTCTGTTAGGGATACACATATGTACACCACTTATATCCTCTGTTAGGCATACACATATATATATATACACCACAGCTATCCTCTGTTAGGGATACCCATATATATTTACAACACAGCTATCCTCTGTTAGGCATACACATATATATACAACACACCTATCCTCTGTTAGGCATACACATATATATATATTTACAACACAGCTATCCTCTGTTAGAAATACACATACATATACAACACACCTATCCTCTGTTAGGCATACACATATATATATGCTATCCTCTGTTAGGCATACACATATATATACAACACAGTTATCCTCTGTTAGGCATACACATATGTATATATTTACAACACAGCTATCCTCTGTTAGAAATACACATACATATACAACACACCTATCCTCTGTTAGGAATACACATATATATATATATCCAACACAGCTATCCTCTGTTAGGCATACAAATATATATACAACACACCTATCCTCTGTTAGGAATACACATATATATATATATCCAACACAGCTATCCTCTGTTAGGAATACACATATATATATCCAACACAGCTATCCTCTGTTAGGCATACACATATATATACAACACAGTTATCCTCTGTTAGGCATACCCATATATATATACAACACAGCTATCCTCTGTTAGGGATACACATATATACACCACAGCCATCTTCTGTTAGGCATACACACATATATACAACACAGCTATCTTCTGTTAGGAATACATATATATATACCACACATCTATCCTCTGTTAGGAATACACATATAAATACAACACAGCTATTATCTGTCAGTCCTTGTGAGTCAAATGTATTTCAGTACATCTCATTTATCCTCTGTTTGAATTTCTGTGAAGCATACATACATAGATACACAACGGCTATCCTCTTGATAGCAGTATTCCAGAGTAAAAATTCTAAATTCCAATTTCTTTGAGCTGAATTCCAGTAAGCTCTGATGGCCATTTGAGAGTCTCCGAGAATTTCGTAACAGATGCCCAGGAGAGTGTTTACTATCCAGTACTTGTGTCCTCCTTGATTCTCGTCATACTGGACATCTACCATGTTACGTAATGCTGCATCACGTCCTCTGGTATCTCTAAGTTCATGACAGCACAGGAATGACAGGAAAATAGCATACGGTAGTGGAGGGATAACTAGGAGTCTGTATCTATTCGCCATTTCTAGCGAGAGGTGGGGAAGATACAAGTCTTTACAAGAAAGGATAATGAAGTGTGCGTATATTTTCTGTAGTCTCTCTGATGTATGGCCTGATTGACTATATTTGTGCCTAAATAGTTTTTCTCTCTCTTCTCTACTTACCTCCTGACCTATGAAACATGATGCCATTTTCATGACTTGTTTGCACATCTCAAGGCTTTTAATGAAATTTCCTACCAGAAAATTAAAAGTTGCTAGACGTAACAGCTCTGTGCCCATTGAGGCCCCATGAATCATCCAGTTTTTACATTTCCTTAAACTTTTGTACCTGGTCTTGTTGTCCATAGCATAGTGATCTTGAGAGACCTGTTCTGCTGCAATGTTTTGTAAGCAAATCATAGAATACTGGTATGTGAAAACTTCATCAAAATCTGACTGTGATTTTGATAATAAACGAATCGCCTTCCTTATGATCCCTAGTGTTCCAGTTTGTGTGATACATATTCCTTTTATCGCTTGGGCAGTTTCTATATCCTGTCGAAAGATCATTTCCTGCTCGGTTTGGGGACATACAAGAGTTTCCCATATTGAGGGATTACAAATTTTAGTAACTGAAAGGCACATCCATTTCAGCTGACAAAAGTTTTTCAAAACGTCCAATAGTATTTGTTGATGTTGTCCATGGACTTTCCTTTGGAACATGTTGTTGGCTGGGATGAAATAATTTGGACAGACTCCCGCCCTGACCCAAGCAATCAGTATGTTGAAACAAAACCAAAAACAGTAAAATAAGTGTTTTTCTTGCCAAAACAGTTGCCTGGAGTTCTCTATTGCATGAAAAAGGATAGTTTTCAAAAAGTAGGAACACAAGATATCGTCATCCCCTATGGTTTCTTTTAACGTGACTTTTATCTGTTTTAAGAAACATTTCAGCAAAGCATATACTTTAAGCTGAATGTGACTGAACGAGTGAACTAAAGATCTCTCTGCTGTTGCAAATGAGATTCTCCATTGCAAGAAAGTATCTTCAGAACACTTGTCCCCAACAGGGACAAGATGACATCCACTGTGTACGATATTGTCGATTAATGTTTGATGTGGCCATCCGTACAGACGTGTACGGGTAATCCATTCATTAGCTTCCTTTGGCCAACAGTTACATGGAAAGCTTTGAACGACATCTATTTGTTCACCCATCGAACTGCTGGGTCCATTGGATTTCCATGCTGAACATGAAAGGCCGTCCGTTAATTTACGGACAAATGACTCTCTAAAGATATCACTGGAAACAAAAAATGAATCCTTAATTCTAACAAGTGAATCACGCAATTCAATGGAACATTTCTGTCCTCTCTGACCTAGTTGTAAGTGGACATATCCAGTTCGGCAATCTGCATCTCTCATATACAGAATTGTATTGTTTGCCATACTTGGAGGGATAAACTGGCCAGGGTACATTACTGTTACAGTCTCTGCTATCATCATAATGTCCAAATCTGATCCTTGTAGACTTAATCCCTCTCCACGACTTCCTCCGTAGAAGGAGTGGTAATTCAAATAAGAGTCATTTTGTATACATTCTTTTAGAACCTCTAATCTCCTCCTGATATCCACCTCTTCCTGTGTCCCTGTAATCGCCCTGTCTAGATGTGTTGACAGGGCAATAGACATCCGCTCATTCTCTGTAGAATCCATTGCCTTTATTTTCAATCTGAAATTATGAAAAATAAAGCTTGCTTCAGTTCGTGAACTGTATAACAACTTTAATAGAAAATTTAACAAATATAAACATCAAATATTAGAAAAATAAGGCAAAGAAAAATATTCAACTTAACATCAGAAGGAAGCTAAATCATGGAAATTGTGTACATGGGTAGATCAAAAGGTTAGAAAACCATAATGAATACATTTTTCAAGTATATGTCTGAGGAGTGGTTTTTTTTATATAAGAAACTCTCATGCAATTTTCATTTAGAAAAGTGTGTTACATTGTATATCAATCTGAAGTCTGGGGTTCGAATCCTTAATGAGAATAAATATATACACTGTATATAATAAAGATAATAATAATAAATAGTGAGGCAATGGATAAATGAATCCAGTAGGCCATATCAAATAATAATAAATAGTGAGGCAATGGATAAATGAATCCAGTAGGCCATATCAAATAATAATAAATAGTGAGGCAATGGATAAATGAATCCAGTAGGCCATATCAAATAATAATAAATAGTGAGGCAATGGATAAATGAATCCAGTAGGCCATATCAAATAATAATAAATAGTGAGGCAATGGATAAATGAATCCAGTAGGCCATATCAAATAATAATAAATAGTGAGGCAATGGATAAATGAATCCAGTAGGCCATATCAAATAATAATAAATAGTGAGGCAATGGATAAATGAATCCAGTAGGCCATATCAAATAATAATAAATAGTGAGGCAATGGATAAATGAATCCAGTAGGCCATATCAAATAATAATAAATAGTGAGGCAATGGATAAATGAATCCAGTAGGCCATATCAAATAATAATAAATAGTGAGGCAATGGATAAATGAATCCAGTAGGCCATATCAAATAATAATAAATAGTGAGGCAATGGATAAATGAATCCAGTAGGCCATATCAAATAATAATAAATAGTGAGGCAATGGATAAATGAATCCAGTAGGCCATATCAAATAATAATAAATAGTGAGGCAATGGATAAATGAATCCAGTAGGCCATATCAAATAATAATAAATAGTGAGGCAATGGATAAATGAATCCAGTAGGCCATATCAAATAATAATAAATAGTGAGGCAATGGATAAATGAATCCAGTAGGCCATATCAAATAATAATAAATAGTGAGGCAATGGATAAATGAATCCAGTAGGCCATATCAAATAATAATAAATAGTGAGGCAATGGATAAATGAATCCAGTAGGCCATATCAAATAATAATAAATAGTGAGGCAATGGATAAATGAATCCAGTAGGCCATATCAAATAATAATAAATAGTGAGGCAATGGATAAATGAATCCAGTAGGCCATATCAAATAATAATAAATAGTGAGGCAATGGATAAATGAATCCAGTAGGCCATATCAAATAATAATAAATAGTGAGGCAATGGATAAATGAATCCAGTAGGCCATATCAAATAATAATAAATAGTGAGGCAATGGATAAATGAATCCAGTAGGCCATATCAAATAATAATAAATAGTGAGGCAATGGATAAATGAATCCAGTAGGCCATATCAAATAATAATAAATAGTGAGGCAATGGATAAATGAATCCAGTAGGCCATATCAAATAATAATAAATAGTGAGGCAATGGATAAATGAATCCAGTAGGCCATATCAAATAATAATAAATAGTGAGGCAATGGATAAATGAATCCAGTAGGCCATATCAAATAATAATAAATAGTGAGGCAATGGATAAATGAATCCAGTAGGCCATATCAAATAATAATAAATAGTGAGGCAATGGATAAATGAATCCAGTAGGCCATATCAAATAATAATAAATAGTGAGGCAATGGATAAATGAATCCAGTAGGCCATATCAAATAATAATAAATAGTGAGGCAATGGATAAATGAATCCAGTAGGCCATATCAAATAATAATAAATAGTGAGGCAATGGATAAATGAATCCAGTAGGCCATATCAAATAATAATAAATAGTGAGGCAATGGATAAATGAATCCAGTAGGCCATATCAAATAATAATAAATAGTGAGGCAATGGATAAATGAATCCAGTAGGCCATATCAAATAATAATAAATAGTGAGGCAATGGATAAATGAATCCAGTAGGCCATATCAAATAATAATAAATAGTGAGGCAATGGATAAATGAATCCAGTAGGCCATATCAAATAATAATAAATAGTGAGGCAATGGATAAATGAATCCAGTAGGCCATATCAAATAATAATAAATAGTGAGGCAATGGATAAATGAATCCAGTAGGCCATATCAAATAATAATAAATAGTGAGGCAATGGATAAATGAATCCAGTAGGCCATATCAAATAATAATAAATAGTGAGGCAATGGATAAATGAATCCAGTAGGCCATATCAAATAATAATAAATAGTGAGGCAATGGATAAATGAATCCAGTAGGCCATATCAAATAATAATAAATAGTGAGGCAATGGATAAATGAATCCAGTAGGCCATATCAAATAATAATAAATAGTGAGGCAATGGATAAATGAATCCAGTAGGCCATATCAAATAATAATAAATAGTGAGGCAATGGATAAATGAATCCAGTAGGCCATATCAAATAATAATAAATAGTGAGGCAATGGATAAATGAATCCAGTAGGCCATATCAAATAATAATAAATAGTGAGGCAATGGATAAATGAATCCAGTAGGNCTGGTAGCTTTTTGGAATAGAGCTAACCAATTTGAGAAGGAAAATGACATTGACCTACTTACAAGATCACAGGGAAAAGTATGTCAAGCAACTTCTGAAGAAGAATAAAAAAAGCATAGAATCTTATAATAATATTTTGCTGGTAGTTTCAACAGATGGAGCCAACAAAGTTTGCGAGGGAAATAGTTTTAGTGCAATATAATATTTAATGAGAATATTTTGCTATGACTGCTTAAATATTCAGGTGAGCGATACAGGCCCTCTTGGGCCTCTTGTTTTAAAATTCTTGTAAAAAATGTTCTACACACAACACACATCTAGTTTTTTTACATGTTTTTCAGATGTGTGTTTGCTATTATACCTATCATAATTTGTTAAATATTACAAAAACCCATTACACCAGATCAAAACGAGACTTGAACGTGACTGAAACCTCAGAAGAGTACATCCTTAAGGATCCTCGTACCACTGCTAAAAACTGTAACTTAGTACTAGTTGGACACTTTTTTTCTGACATGATTATAGTTTTGATAAATCATTTCTGAAAAGAAAAAAACCCCTTACGGAACTTTTATGATAAATAAGAAAGGTGATATCAATAATAGCGTTTTTTAAGTGTGAAATTTCAGTGACTGGGATTCAAACCCTGGACTTCAGATTGATATACCTAGATAAATGGATTACATATTAGAATGCAATATACAATATACAAGATACTAATATATTTTTTTTAGCAAACCTGGCACTAAGTGCCAAGTGAGCTAATGCCGTGGCGCGGCGTCTGTCGTCCATCCGTCGTCAATATTTTACTTTAAACGACTTCTTCTTAATAACCGAAAGGCCTAGGGTGTCGATATTTAGCCAGAAGCAAACTGGGATGAAGGGCTACAAAGTGTGTTCAACTGAATGACCTTCACCCTTATTGAAGGTCACAGGGGTCAAATATGTTAAAAACTTTAAACAACTTCTCAATAACCAAAATGCCCAGGGTGATGATATTTGGCCAGTAGCATGCTGAGATGAAGGGCTACAAAGTTTGTTCAAATGAATGACCTTCACCCATTTTCAAGGTCACAGGGGTCAAATATGTTAAAAACTTTAAACATCTTCTTCTCGATTACCAAACTGCCCAGGGACATGATATATAGCCAGTAGCATGCTTGGGTGAAGGGCTACCAAGTTTGTTAAAATGAATGATCTTCAATTATATTCAAGGTCTCAGGGGTCAATTGTCTTAAAATAACTTTAAACAACTTCTTCTGAATAACCAAAATGCCCAGGGTGATGATATTTGACCAGTAGCATGCTGAGATGAAGGGCTACAAAGTTTGTTCAAATGAATGACCTTCACCTAATTCAAGGTCACAGGGGTCACCTTCACCTAATTTAGATCACAGGGGTCAACTATGTTAAAAACTTTAAACATCTTCTTCTCGATAACCGAACTGCCCAGGGACATGATATTTGGCCAGTAGCATGCTTGGGTGAAGGGCTACCAAGTTTGTTCAAATGAATGATCTTCAATTATATTCAAGGTCACAGGGGTCAATTGTCTTAAAAAACCCTTTAAACAACTTCTTCGGAATAACCGAAATGCCCAGGGACATGATATTTGGCCAGTAGCATGCCTGGGTGAAGGGCTACCAAGTTTGGTCAAATGAATGACCTTCACCCATATTCAAGGTCACAGAGGTCAAATATGTTAAAAACATTAAACAACTTCTTCTAAATAACCAATATGCACAGGGTGATGATATTTGACCAGTATTATGCTAGAGTAAAGGGCTATCAAGTTTGTTCAAATGAATGACCTTCACCTATAGTCAAGGTCACAGGGGTCAAATATGTTAAAAACATTAAACAACTTCTGAATAACCAAAATGCACAGGGTGATGATATTTGGCCAGTAGCATGCAGAGATGAAGGGCTACAAAGTTTGTTTAAATGAATGACCTTCACCCATATTCAAGGTCACAGGGGTAAAATATGTTAAAAACTTTAAACGACTTCTTCTGAATAACCAAAATGCCCAGGGTGATGATATTTAGTCAGTAGCATACTAGGATCAAGGGCTACCAAGTTTGTTTAAATGTATGACCTTGAATCATATTCAAGGTCACAAGGAGCAAATATGTTCATATTATTTCAACAACTTCTTCTGAATAACCAAAAGGCTCAGGATGTTGATATTTAGTCAGTAGCATGCTGAGATGAAGGACTACTGTGTTTGTTAAAGTGAATGACTTTGACTTATATTCAAGGTTACAGGGGTCAAATTTGTTTAAAATCTTTAAACGACCTCTTCTTAATAATCATAGGTCCCACGATGTTGATACTTTGCAAGTTGCATCCTGAGATAAAAGGCTATAAAATTTGTTCAACATAATGACTTTGTTCGACTTTCAATCACAGGGGTGAAATGTTTAAAAAAAAATTAACAGGTTCTTTTGAATGAATTTTAATCATAAGTACTGATATTTTGCCTGTAGCTTTATTTTAGATCACTTTTAAGGTTACAAGTGTGAGATTTATACCAGGTGAGCGATGCAGGCCCATTGGGCCTCTTGTTTAAATAAAATTACGAAATAAATTTCCGATTTTTTGATTAGCTGATCTCTTTACATCTGCTACTTTTTAGGTCACCTGAGACAAAGGTCAACTAAAATTGTGAATTATATGGTCCCCATGCAGCCCCCAGGGGCCTGAGGGCCGGGGCCAAAAAGGGTAAAATTGACTAAAACTTCAAAAATCTTCTTCTCAAGACCCAGATATGGTAGAATCAAATACTCTTCATAGATGGAAGGGTCTTAAGGTGCTTTACTTAAATTGTGAATTTCTTGAACCTGGGGTCTCACGTTACCCTCTGGGGAGGGGGTAAACTTTACTATAGTTTATATAGGGAAATCACATTTTGGACCAACATTTGTTTAATTGCCATTGGAAGTAATTCAATTTAGGTTAGCATTATCAGTATTGGGTAGCAGTTTGATAGTATGCACATATCAGCCCTAACTGACCCCCCGGGGCTGATGGGTGGGGCCAAAAAGGGTTGAATTGACTGAAATTTCAAAAATCTTCTTCTCAAGACCCAGATATGGTAGAATCAAATACTCTTCATAGATGGAAGGGTCTTAAGGTGCTTTACCAAAATTGTGAATTTCATGACCCTGGGGTCTCGCGTTTCCCCCTGGGGAAGGAGGGGGGAGAGGGGGCAAAATTTGTTATGGTTTATAATGGCAAATGATACTTTGAATATTACATGTTGATAACTTGATTGGAATTATAACCCTAAGTTGACAGTTTGATACTTTGTAAATTTTGAGCCATCCCTACCCCCAAGGGTTGTAGGGTGGGGCCCAATGGAGTCTGTGTGCTAAAATAAAATTTCTTCATTTTCCTTGTTTAGAATCAGAGGTGCTAGTTTCAAATACTTTTCAGTCTTAAATCTGCATGCTAGATATTGAATAATGTGGTTTTATTGTTTTTTGTCACTTTGAATAATATTTCTGTTCATGTTAAAAACAAAAATCAACTCTCTGTATAAATTCTGTAGATCAGGTGACCGTTAAGGCCCATGGGCCTCTTGTTTAGAGTTATTTCCAAGTACGTCTATAAATGTAGGAAACAATATCCTATTTAATGTCAGAAGAAAAGAAGTTACCTGCTTCAAAATTGTAGAATATGTAGAAATCTTGCCGCTTGAGTCTGGAAAGACTGGACTGTAATGATCCAGTATAAAATGCGATAACTTTGGATAAACATTGACCCAAGCTTGCTAGTCAACACTGTCTCTAGAGTATTCTGTAGAAGATGTCTTCAGCTTGCTCTGTGTCACATGTTTCTTACATAATATAATGTGTTTTTTTAACTTTCACAACTAGCCATATTTCAAGCGTCCTTTGTAGAACTATTCAAGCTTGCTCTGTAGGACATGTCTTTTTCCTGAGCAAGAGAATCTCCAACTTGCTCTGCAGATCAAGTCTCTGGCTTAGTTGCTCTGCACAAGCAGGAACTGTGGCACACGGAAAAACCTTGGATGTACTGCAGATGAATATTAATCAAATCTACTTATACCTTGGCCAGATTTTTATAGATATACATTTATATTCATGACAGGATGTATTTGATCCAATTCTAGGAATTTATTTTCTTCCTGCTGTGATTCATTTTTAAGTGTATATAAAATTAACATCATAAAATCTTCCTGTTGCTGTGGGAGGAAAACTCGTCACGGTTATGACCAAGAGAGTGTTCTGTGTACCATATAAGGCAGCAATACTAGAGGTTGGCTGGCGATTGTGTACCAAATAGAATGAATTACCTCAAGAGGGTGTTCCTATAACCACATAAAGTACCACATAATGTATCATCACTACAGGGCGTTCTGTGTTCAGTGCAGTCCTGGCTGTGTGACAGTTTGGTGGGACGGTGCAGTCCTGGCTGTGTGACAGCTTGGTGGGACGGTGCAGTCCTGGCTGTGTGACAGCTTGGTGGGATGGTGCAGTCCTGGCTGTGTGACAGCTTGGTGGGACGGTGCAGTCCTGGCTGTGTGACAGCTTGGTGGGATGGTGCTATCCTGGCTGTATGACAACTTGGTGGGATGGTGCAGTCCTGGCTGTGTGACAGCTTAGTGGGATGGTGCAGTCCTGGCTGTGTGACAGCTTGGTGGGATGGTGCTGACCTGGTTGTGTGACAGTTTGGTGGGATGGTGCAGTCCTGGCTGTGTGACAGCTTGGTGTAACAGTGCAGTCCTGGCTGTGTGACAGCTTGGTGGGATGGTGTATGAGCATGTATTACGTAATGTTGTGTAAAATATGCATCACAATGAAGTAAAAACCCAAATGAAGCTGTGATACATTATTTGACCCCATTCTTAATTAAGTTCTTAATGATGTTTCCAGCCGAGTGCCCCCAAGAAATATAGGTTAGTAGATGTAGATAGTCCCACTGAATTCCTTCTCAGATGTTGCAAATTCTGATAAATGCACAACTTTTTACAGAGTTGTTTATGCTAATAACACACATTTCAAATTTACAGTACAATTCCACTGACAATGATTCAACACAATCCATACCTGATATGTCAACAAAATAACTATTAATTTATAAACTGTTGTCCTTAATATTACTAATATTAATGTTCTGTATATGTGATCCAGCTTCAGCTGAAACACATAGATTTTTGTGCTTCCTTCAATACTGATTTTGGTGTCTTGATATATCGACAATAAGTATCAGACGACCATGCAGCGTCCCAAAGTTTTAATCAAGTGATCCTCTACTTGTCCTACATCTATATACAGTAAACCCTGACTATATTGACACCTGACTTAAAGGAAATGACCTGTTATGTAAAGTAAATCCTGACTTTACTGACACCTGACTCTAAGGACATCCTGTTATATACAGTAAAACCCGAGGCCTCTTGTTATTTTCATTCAATCAAATCTATGGAGTTCATTTTGGTTTTCAAACTTTCAATAACTCAAGTTTTCTATTTGAAAGTAATGATATTGATTTAATGTGTGACCTTGACACTGTTTTACCCTGACATAATTCCCCCAGCAGGTGCCCCTGTATTAAGTTCAGTGCTGAACCTTAAGAACCATCTGAGTGAGTCCAACAGCTCACTGACCAGTAGTACTTCGTCCATGGATCAGTCAGAAAAGGATGGCACTGAAAAACAGATACCGCACGCGACAAGAAAGGTGACAAAGGCCACAAGCGGTATGTATCAACATCAGTTTGGAAAAAGATAGGATTTATTAGTTAAGGGTATATGTTACCATAGTGGACATTAATCTCTTTTTCAAGAAAGAGCCTGCAAATATCTGTTTGTGTATAGAAAATTTGGAATTGGTTACATGTAGAACATGGCAAATATCTTCCAGAGTGAATCCATTGATAAAGGCTGGGTATTTCTGAATCCTTTTAATTTTATAGGGGCTGACTGAAAAAATATTTAATGGAGATAACTCTAACACCAATCAAATAAAAAATGTGTAAGGTATCATATACCCTTAACTCTACCCAAAATCAGAGGTAGACACAAATATGTCATATCCCGACACAATTATATCATATCATGTCTCTATTATTAAATACAGTACTTTATGTTGTTCAGAGTACACTTGTCAGGGTCAAGTGTCGGAACAGATAAGGGGTCAGCTCCGTCTCCTAAACCGTCGGCCATGATTCTGAAGTACCAGCGACTGTACATATCACCGAGATTAAGGACCTCCTTCTGTGTTTCCTGTACATCCTGAAACACCTCCCAAACGGTAATACAATTCTTATACTCATCGTATTTGGTCTCAAATGGACATTTCATTGAAATAATCCGGGTTGGCTGTGAGTTTTCGATGATTCAGCACCTTTTGAACTCTATGTGTTGGTGGACATTGCTTTGATTCACATTGTCGGATGCAGGTTGTGTTGGACCTCTTAACACATGGATGGATTATTATATGTTTATATGAGAAATAAAGCTAGAATAAGGAGTAGAGTATGGGAGATACTCACGGCAAGTTACTACTGTTTAAAACAATTATATATATGTATTATTTGACTTTGTCCGTCAGCTACCTAACTGCACGGTGATACTACTGTATACTGGGAAGTGTTCACTGCAGTTTAACTTTTGCCCTTTTTCACTCTCCCTGATGAGGGCGAATTTATCATGACAGCAACTTTTAGTTCTCAACATGTAGTACATAGTGATTACATGTGATTGGCCAAGTTACACTGGGTGAATAAGGATCTTATCGGAAAAAGGTGAATATTTGACAGGGTGAAAATGTTTCGGTATACAGTATTGGTTTTAAACATACATATTTGATATAACGAACTCCTGCTCATTAAGAAGTTATTTTGTGTCGTCCCGTCCTGGCAATCAAAGTTTCTCACATTTCACACTCTATAACAGATTTGTCAGTTTAAAATCACTCTAAATTTGATTTCTGTTTTTCAGATATCCTCCTTGGCTGGTTCAATAATTCCTCAGAGTTTGACATAATAGATTTCTTCAGTATTTTAGAGTAAGTATAATTTCACAGTGAATGTTACCAGCTATGAATCTGTGTCCTCAGAGTTGAGATAAATTGTAAAACAATAACAAACTAGAGACATTCTTTCTGCTGATTGTATAATTGTTATGAATAGGAGACCTTCTTTCTGCTAATGATAATAGAATTGTTGAAGATTGGGGACCTCCTTTCTGCTGATTTTATAATCGTTATGAATAAGTTGTTTAAAGTAAAAAGTTGACGCTGGACAGACTTTCTTTCAGGGCCGGTATTCATGAAACCATTCTCTTGCTCAGAATGAATTTTGTACTCAAGCCAATTTTCTTGTGAGTCATCTAAACCATGTGACACAGAAAAAAAGTATTGAAAACGGTATATGGCGAATTGTGCTCGACAAATCTTGTAAATTGTTGACAACAATTTCTATTAAACTTTCTCTGAAACAAGAAATTGTGCTTGAGCATAGAATCTGAGTTTGAGCGTGAGAACGGTTTCATGAATACAGACTCCGATGATTGTGATGTTGTGAAGGATTGCAGATCTTTTGGCTGCTGTGCTAATATTACTCTGTTATTAGTATATGACACTACACACGAGTTACTCTGGTCTTCCACTCTTCGATTTAAAATGATATCAGTCACCTTTAAAAACAGCTTACAGATACCTGATGGAAGTCTGGTCATTAACAGTACAGTAGTTAATAAAAACCGTTAACCATGGCAGAGTCACACTTGGTTTCACAGCTTTATAATCAATACTAGAGATCGTAGCCGTTTAATCCCCGTCTGTACTGCCGATTAAGTCATCATTCACCCCCTAAAGTCACATTTGAACTCGTCCAATTCAATGGTTGGAATAGTTCATTCTGAAGTTTCAGGGGTGAATGAGTTACTCATTCACCCCTAAAGTCACATTTGAACCTTACCTAATCAAAGACTAGGCAAGTCCAGTTTAAATATGTAGGGGTGAATGAGTTAAAAATAGCATCATATCATATCTTTTCGTTGATATCAGTATATTTGATATGAAAGTAAATCAATATTTTAGATGTGGAAATATTTGCTGTTGGTTGTATTCAGATTCTACTTACCAAGAAAAATTGTGAAAGTATAAATCAGCCGGTATCCTGTAATGAAAATTGTATACCGAGAAATTCTGGTGAAGGTTGAAAGCTTGACTGGGCGAAAATTTGCTGTCATACAGGATATATCATCTTATTACAGGGTTTGTTTGACTTACTTTAAATACCAGGGAAAGAAGAAGATCCATGACCTCAGGTATGAATCAATGGCTAGTGTCCTCATATCTATAGAACATACACTGTACGGAGGCAATCGTTCTTCATACTTTTATCATATATATAAAATTAACCATCATCTGACATTTTGTTCAAATTGTACAGGATTAAATATTAAGGCAAAATGCATACAACTGCACCTAAATGAAATACTAGCTATACAGGTTTTTTAGCTCACCTGACCCGAAGGGCCAAGTGAGCTTATGGCATAGTGTGGTGTCCGGCGTCCGTCTGTCTGGCGTCAACTTTTTACTTTAAACTTCTTCTTCTGAATAAGCAAGAGGGTGATGATATTTGGCCAGTAACATGCTGGGATGAAGGGCTACTAAGTTTGTTCAAATAAATGACCTTGACTTATATTCAAGGTCACAGGGGTCAAATATATTTAAAACCTTTAAACAACTTCTTCTGAATAACCAAGAGGCCTAGGTTGATGATAGTTGGCCAGTAACATGCTGAAATGGAGGGGTACCAAGTTTTTTCAAATAAATGACCTTGATATATATTGAAGGTCACAGGGGTCAAATATGTTTAAAACCTTTAAACAACTTCTTCTGAATAACTAAAGCATACAGTGTGATTGCTTGTTGATGTAAATGACCTTGACATACTTTCATGGTCACATCTGGTCCATAGTGCATAAATCTTTAAAGGTCATCTTCTCAATAAACAAAAGGTATATAAGGTGGTGTATTTGGCAAGTTGCATTCTGGGAAGAAGGGCTTTTTAAGGTCACAGGGGTCAAATGTGTTTTAATCGTTTAACAGGTTCTTCTGAATTACTTGAAGTCAAGACACTGATATTTTGCCTGTAGCTTTATTTCAGTTCACTTTTAAGGTTACAATTGTGAGATTAATACCAGGTGAGCGATGCAGGCCGATTAAGCCTCTTGTTTTAGACCACTTTAAAGGTTTCAAATGTGAAATTGATACCAAGTGAGCAATGTAGGCCAATTGGGCCTCTTGTTTATGACTTATTTTTCGAATGACAGTGCTGTCATCATGTCTCTCAACTCTTGGCTAGAACTTTATCAGGCAAAATTAGCAAAAAAATCTGAAATTGTACCCTCTACAGGCTGTATAGTATGGCTTGGTGCCAGGGGTGACTTGAGGGGTGATTATGGACTTGTCTGTGTTAAGTTTCCTGGCTGCACCATTGTCTATTGATTACAGTACATGATTTCTACAAGACAATTTACTTTGCCTCGTACATTGCAGGTGTCTCATTTGTGCCACAATGGCCTCTGTACTAAGTTTGAACACCTGAATCTTTAGCCAGGTTACATCAATAACAGCATACAATCCTGCAAGCTGAGGCAGCCTCAGACTTGTTTAGGCCATAGCCCTCATCCAAAGTGTAGTTTTTTTGACAAGCAGAGATGAACAACAACTCAAGTAAGTTTTGAAATTAAATAATCAAACAATTATTTACATTGAAATTCCAAAAAAGCACACTAATAAATGCACATTTTAAAAAGCACAGTCATCTTAACACTTTTTCTTATCACAGTTTTTTTAACACAGTCTGTTTTTAGCACATCCTCTTAGCATAAAGATTTTGGGTCATCCTATCCAGATTTATATGTCACTGCGGGAACACATGCCTTTGCATGCATGCGATACCATCTGATTCTGTGATATCCTCTCCTTAGTTTGAACATGAGATGTCTTTGATATTGCTGATGATATAACTGTCTCTTTCACTCGCCAAAGGACTGCCAACTGCATGTAGCCTCAGCACTGTAGAGTCTGCTATACCAAAGTTGCACAGATGAACAGCAGTGTGAATTCTAGCAGGAAAGTTGCGGTAACGAGTCATCAATTTTTCTGGTTTGTTTTCTGAAGCACTCTGTTAAAATATTCAAATTTCTGAGTGCTTGTTAGTAGTTTGGTGCTGTCCAGACACTGGGTGCTGAGGTACTTGAGCACACATTGTTTGAAGTGATGTTCATCTTTAGCACTGAGGCATAGCACTATCCCCTGAACCAAGATGTTAAATTATCACTTGTGTATATTATTGTATATGGAGAAAAAGCTTGAATCTCGCAATTCAATTATATTTTTGAGATAAATATAATCATGGAATTAGATTATCTAGGTCTGTGATATAATTAAGCATCGCATGCATAAATAAGTATTGTATAAAATCAAATGTGTTACTTCAGTGTTTTGCTGTTTATTTGAATTCCTATTCCTTCTATGCTGACTGCTACAAGCATTGAACTTTCAACGTCACAGCCGATTGGATCCCATTTATTAAAAGAATTAGTAGATAACTTGTTATTCTACATGTAAACCAAAGTTTTCAAAATTGTAAATAATTTGATACCCGTGTTTACATCTGAACTGATCAAAAATCATTTTGCTTATCAGATCACAAGAGCCCACCAGCACAACAAGGGTAAAGGCAGAGGGCTACAGAAAAAGATCTTAAAGGTATGGAACAGCCTCTCAAATGATCTAAGAAGTGTAAAAAAATGTTCTGCAGTCTGTTGCTAACATGGAACAGCAATATTTGCAAATTTTCTATTTTTGTCTTTTTGAAGCTTTTGCAAAAATTTGCATAATTTGTAATTTTCAATGTAAGTTAGCAGTCTAAGGGGAGGTAATTTATTATACTTATAACAGAGTTTTCTCCCTTCTATTGCACACACACATCAAGCATGGAAATATATGTCATAGATGTATGTGTATGTGCAGCATATAACCTGTCAATTTTTAGCTCACCTGGTCCTATGCCATACTGACGCGTCGTCCGTCCGTCAACGTTTTCTTTAAAACGCTACTTGTCCTGAGTCCTGAAAGGCCAAGTAGATTTTCNTGACTGGAAGCATCCCTCGGTAGTTGAGATTCAAAATTGTACAAATGGTTGGGCTGACCCCCCAGGGGGCTGAGTGGCGGGGCCAAAAGTTGGCAATATGGCTATATTGCTACAAACGACTTCTGTAGAACTATGCACAGGATATCAACCATATTTGACTGGAAGCATCCCTAGGTGGTGGGGATTCAAAATTGTACAAATGGTTGGGCTGACTCCCCAGGGGGCTGAGGGACGGGGCCAAAAGGGGGCAATTTGGCTATATTGCTACAAACGACTTCTTCTGTAGAACTATGCACTGGATATCAACCATATTTGACTGGAAGCATCCCTAGGTGGTGGGGATTCAAAATTTGGTTGGGCTGACCCCCCAGGGGGCTGAGGGGTGGGGCCAAAAGGGGGCAATTTGGCTATATTGCTATAAACGACTTCTTCTGTAAAAATATGCCATGGATATCGATCATATTTGGTCAAAAGCATTCATGGGTGGCAGGGATTCAAAATTGTACAAATGGTGGGGCTGACCCCCCCGGGCTAAGGGGTGTGGCCAAAAAAGTGTATTACTTGGAAATAGTTGAGATCCCCACCCCAGAACTATATATACAAATGCTTGGCATAAAGAGACAAAAGTAGTCGTGGTATTAGAATAAACCTGGGGTCTGACCGTACCCCTAGGGACCTAGTTTCTTAGTCACAGCTTGGAAACAGTTGAGATTCATTCCCACCCTATAACCATGCATATATCCAATTGCTGAGTATAAAGAGATGAATGCACATATGCTTCCAGGACGGCCTTGGGGACTGCCCCACCCTTGGAGACTTAACCCCTGGTTCATAACTTCGAAATGGTTAAGATCCCCACCCCAAAACTATATATACAATTGTTGGGCATAAAAAGATGGATGCAGTCATGATATTAGAATTGACCCCTAGGTCTGCCCCACCTTTGCAGACTTAACCCCTGGGTCATAACTTTGAAACGGTTGAGACCCCCACCCCAAGACTATAAATACAAATGCTGGACAAAAAAGAGACGAATGCAGTCATGATATTAGAATTGATCCTGGGGTTTGGCCACAACCCTGGGGATCTAGTTTCTGAGTCACAGCTTGGAAACAGTGGAGATCCCCACCCAATAACCATACATTAAATTGCTGGGCATGAAAAATCTAATACAGACATACAACAAGAATTGGCATTGGGGTCTGGCATATTCCCTTGTATCTCATTGGAGAATATTTTGCCATGATTGCTTAGATATCCAGGTGGGCGATACAGGCTCTCTGGGCCTCTTGTTTATAAATGGTGGGTCTGACCCTCCTTGGGCCTGAGGGGTAGGACCCAATAGGGGTAATTTAGCAAATTCTTTAAAATTCTTCTTCTTCTGTAGAAATGACAGGATTTTGTCCATGTTTGGTCTAAATTTAAAACATCCTGTATTAAAGGGGACTTAATTTTAGCTCACCTGCCCGAAGGTCCAAACCCACCATTTTTACAAAATTGAGTCCCCTTGGTCTGCATCATCCTTAGGCCAATTTTGCATAATAAACTGCTGGAAATGAAAGAGAAGGGAAACAAGGAACTTAAAGATAACTACAGGATATGGAAAGTTCAACCTCTTACGGAAACCCTGTTAGACTACTGCGTTGTTGATGTAGCCGCCATGTTCCCGACGTACAAGAAGCTGAAAGAGTCTGCTGATGTTCTGCCTCGACTGTCAGTAGCCTCTGAACGGTATGCAGACGTTCTGCCTCGACTGTCAGTAGCCTCAGAACGGTATGCAGATATCTGGCGAGGCATGGAAGTACGATCTTTCGACAAGTTGGAGTTTAATGCCTACCTTCCGCTGGACATTTTCCATTTGGATCCACCAAAGCGAGTTCCATAACAACCAATCAAGGACTGGTTCCCAGTCTTGTTGAGTCTGTAGGAAAGTACAGCAACAATAATATCATCGATAGTTCCCGGACTAAAACCCAACATTTAAATAACTACCAAAAAAATATATTTTATGCTTTTTAAAGATTCATTACAAGCCCAAGTCATTGTGAGTTCATCCTCGATACTCCAGGGGTAATGCTCACTTTCGCTCTCTGCACTGGAATATGTCATTGCGAAATTGAAGGCACGCGGCTAGCTATTTGATTGGTGTCAGGTAAAATAAGCTGAATAATCACTAGGCTGACACTTGGCCTTTGAAGATTACAGAGGAGCGACGCCAGACTTCAGAGCCAATACGTTTTACCGTTACGCGACCACGAGATTCTTATTATGTACATCAAAGGAACAAACTAGTCTTCTCGTCTCATACTTGCTGCACATTTGAACCTTCAATTTTGCTTCGACATATTCCAGGGCTGCAGAGGGCGAAAGTAAGTGTCACTCCTGGATATTGAGGATGTTGCAAGGTATGAAAAGTTCGGAACAATTTGCATCCAAGTGTGCATTTGCTGGTAGGTGCAGTCTGACTTCGGATTGTGTCAAGTATTGAATCAGGGTCTTGACTCATTCACCCCTGCAATTTCATAATGAACTATTCCAACCTTTGAATTGGAAGAGTGCAAATTTGTCTTTGGGGGGTAGAGGGATTAAAACAATAACCAAGATATTGCTTAATCTTGAGAAAGAGATTGAAACTGTGAACACTTTTTAATTCTTTACAATGTTGTTATATAAGCAGGTCAACTAGTACATTATTTTTAGCTCACCTCGCCGGAAGGGTCCATCATCCGTTCGTCGTCCGTCCGTCGTCAACATTTTACTTTAAACAACTTCTTCTCAGTAACCAAAAGGCCTAGGGTGATGATATTTGGCCAGAAGCATGCTGGGATGAAGGGCTACCAAGTTTGTTCAAATAAATGACCTTCATCCATTTTCAAGGTCACAGGTGTCAAATATGTTAAATTCTTTAAACAACTTCTTCTGAATAACCAAGAGGCATAGGGTGATGATATTTGGCCAGAAGCATGTTGGGGTAAAGGGCTACCAAGTTTGTTCAAATGAATGACCTTCATCTACATTCAAGGTCACAGGAGTCAATTGTCTTGAAAACCTTTTAAACAACCTCTTCTGTATAACCAAAAGATCCAGGGTGATGATATTTGGCCAGAAGGATGTTGGCATGAAGGGCTACCAAGTTTATTCGAGCAAATGACCTTCACTCATATTCAAGGTCAAAGGGGTCAATTGTCTTAAAAACCTTTAAACGACTACTTCTGTATAACCAATAGGTCCAAGGTGATGATATTTGGCCAGAAGGATGTTGACATGAATGACCTTCATCCATATTAAAGGTCACAGGGGTCAATTGTCTTGAAAACCTTTAAACGACTTCTACTGTATAACCAGGGTGATGATATTTGGCCAGAAAGATGTTGGCATGAAGGGCACTCAAGTTTGTTCAAACAAATGACCTTTGTCCATAGTGCATAAATCAGGTGGTGATATTAGGCAAGTTGCATTCTGGGAGGAAGGGCTATGAAGTTTGTTCAACTTAATGTCCATGTTTGACTTTCAAGGTCACAGTGGTCAAATGTGTTTTAATCGTTTAACAGGTTCTTCTGAATGACTTACTTGAAGTCAAGACACTTATACTTTGCTTGTAGCTTTATTTTATTCCACTTTTAAGGTTACAATTGTGAGATTAATACCAGGTGAGCAATGCGGGCCCATTGGGCCTCTTGTTTATAAATGGTGGGTCTGACCCTCCTAGNGGGGGGGGACCCAATAGGGGTAATTTAGCAAATTCTTTAAAATTCTTCTTCTTCTATAGGAATGACAGGAATTTGTCTAAAACATCCTGCCCGAAGTTAATTAACTTTTCCTTTATAACGCTACTTGTCCTGAACGGCGAAGTAGATTTGGACTAAATTTGGTCTGCATCATCCTCATCCATTTTGTATAAACAGTGGGTTAGGACACCCTGGGGGCAGAGTTGCAGGGCCCAATAGGGGAAATAGAGGTAAAAACCTTTGAAATCCTTCTTCTACCATTGGGATTAAGGGATTTCATCCCAATTTTGTATGGAGCATTCTTGGGCCAAGGGGACTCAGTTTTGTATAAACAGTGGGTTTGGGCCCCTTGGGGCAGAGTTGAGGGGCTCAATAGAGGAAATAGATGTAAAGTATTTGAAATCCTTCTTCTCCCGTAGGTATTAAGAGGTTTTATCCCAATTTGATCTGGAGCATCCTTGGGCCAAGGGGACTCAATTTTGTATAAACGGTAGGTTTTGACCCCCTGGGGACAGGAGCAAGGCCCAATAGGGGAAATATAGGTGAAAACCTTTGAAATCCTTCTTCTATCATAAGGATTAAGGGGCTTTATCCCAATTAGGCCTGGAGCATCCTTTGTCCAAGGGGACTCAAATTTACATAAACGGTGGGTTTGGCCCTTCTTGGTGCTGTGAGTTGCGGGGCCCAATAGGGAAATTTGATGTTTAAATATTTAAAATCCTTCTTCTGTACCATTGAAGGAGTATTGTATTGTGATTACTAATGTGCTACATTGTACTTTGTATGTTGTATTACTTGTTGTCATTAATGCCTCCTGGGCGAGTTGAGCTTATGCCGTACTGCGGCGTCGGGCCGTCAACCTGTTCTTTTAAACAACTTCTTCTGGAGACCTGGAGGACCTAGGGTCATGATATTTGGCCAGTAGGTACCTAGGATGGAGTGCTATAAAGTTTCCTAATTAAAATGACCTTGACCTACTTTCAAGGTCACAGGGGTCAAATATGTTAAAAAATGCAAGCAACAATATCCTAAGAACCCTTTGGACTAGAGTCATGATACTTAGTAATATTATGTAGACCAGCAGTGCAAATATTTTTCTTAATTA